AGGAAAGTGGTGGCTGCATCAAAAAAACACCTAAGCCTTTTTCTCCAGCTTACCGCAGGGAAAACCGTGATCTCTTAGAGAAAAACTCAGAGCCAGATCTGAGTTGAAGCCTAGCCTGGTCTACACTGCATGCTCCCGGCCATCGAGACTCCCTACAATGTGGGGTCCAGGCTCTACGCTGAGACACTCTCTCAAGTACACTAAAAAAAGGAAGAATCAGGAAAATGTTTGATTTCTTTTTCTAACATGGGAAGCCAACAGTTAATAACAGTCTGACCTATTGTGTTTTAGGCAAATGCATGTGTGTGCTTTTCACACGCATGAGGCAAGTATGTACAAGCTGCAGGCTACACAGAAGCCTCACAGCGAGCATGAGGCAGGCTGACAGTATGGTGAACACCATCTGAGGCCAGAGTGGCCTCAAACTCAGAGATCCACCTGCCAGTGCCTCCCGAGTGCTGGGCTAAAGGTGTGCGCAATCATACCTGTCCCCATGGTAACATCTCAACATCTTTAAGGACCACCTTCTACTCAGCTTCCAGGAGCAGCAGTCCAAAACCCTTCAGCCTTCTGCACACAGGACAACTGACTCTACTCTCCCATCCCAAAGTGGCTGTCAACCACAGCCAAGCTGTTCTCCTTGCTCTGTCCAAGGTTCCAGGACACTGGCTCTCAACCTGTGGGTCAAAATCCCTCTGGGGCCACAGGTCAGATCTCCTGCATATTACATTACAACTCATCACAATAGCAAAGTTAGCTACGAAGTAACAACAACATAATTTTATGGTCAGGGCCACCACAACGTGAGGAACTGTATTAAAGGGTCTCAACTGTACAGGAAGGTTGAACCACTGTGCTGGGAGGAAAAAGAAGGCAGAGGTATGAGGGAAGGAAGCGCTGTCTCTGTGCGCTTTCAGGCTGACAAACAGATTTACTTCTCACGGGTCTGGAGGCTTTGCTCTGAGCCTCAGTGCAGCACAGTCCTGGAGGGTCTCTGCCTCTCGCTGCCCGGTTTTCCATCTAAGAGGATTGCCACCCCTCCATGGCGGCTGCAATAAAGCAGCAGGATCGGCCTCATCCCATTCTTTGCTCTAAAAGCCTCCCAGAGCTGACTAATTAACTGCAGCACAGAAAAATCTGAGCAGTATAAGGTGCTTGCTCCTCTCATCCTATTACTCCGTCTCCCTCACGGCACTGCGGATTGAGACAAGGCTGCCATCCCAATCACCTCACCCCAGCATCTTTTCTTCACATGCACCCGCAAATGAACATGAGACTTGAATTAAGTTTTAAAAACATTATACATGTAGTTCCAGCGATTTCACTTTTTAGTGGTTTGCTTTGGGGTTTTTTTGGACAGGAGTATTTCTGTGCAACCCAGGGTGGCCTCAGAACCAGTATTCTCCTGTCTCAGCCTCCTCTTTTATTTATTTAGGCACGGTCTGACTAGGAAACCCTGGGGCCTTGAGCTCACATAGATCCACCTGCCTCTGCCTCCCAAGTGCTGGGATTAAAGGTGTGAGCCACCACACCTGGTGCTGCAATCATCTTAAGGCCAAGCATTCTCCAGAGACATGGCAACAGACACACACAGCGCTCACCCTCTCACACTCACACACACACACAGTGCTCACACACAGCACTCACTCGGGGTCCCTCTGCACCGTTCCTCTCTACCCAGAAGCGCCTGTGGCCTCTGACAGCGCTCAGACACTGCTCTGTACAAGGGAAGACCGTGGCTCCCTGCTGCTGACGTCACCACGGTCTCCCTGATGGAAGGAAGGACGGATGTGAGAAAGGCTAAGAGGGTAAAGGGCAGCTTAAGGGCAAGAAGAGGGTGAGGATCCCAGGGCGAGTGGAAGGCAGGCTTCCATCACTGGCAACAATCACGTTTCTGCTTTTCTCCTACATTACTTCATCTTCCCTTGGGGGTTCCTCTTTCAAGTGGGTGGATGAGCAATGGCCAGATGCGCATGTCTGAGGCGGACACTAGGGAAGTCTCACCACTTCATTGCCACGTCCTGGCATACACGCAGATGAAGTGACAGAGACCTCGGAGCTCGGCTGTAGACCTGACTTATATCCTGGTATCTGGGGGTCTGGAGGGTTGGCTCAGAGGTTAACAACACTGCTAGAGGTCCCAGGTTCAATTCCCAGCACCAACACAGTGGCTCACAGCAGTCTGTAATTCTAGTCCCAAGGGATCCAATGACTGATTCTGGCCTCCAACAGGCACTGTACATACGTGATGTACAAACATACATGAAGGCAAAACACTCATACACATTAACTAAAAGCAGCAGTAGTAATAAAAATAAACAATCCTGGTATCTTAAAAGGACTTCCAGTGGGAGACGATAATCCAACCTGTTCTCCTGACCTAGAGGCGGGACCAGGCACTGACTCACAACCCGCTGCGGCTTCAAAAGCTAGAGCACACTGGCAGAAAGCCTAACAGCACTGTCACAGGACAGAGAGTACAGTCCCGAAGGCAATCAAGTGTAACAGCCGCGCTCTGACAGGCCCTCAGTGGTAGACCGAGTACACCTCAGTGGCTAAAACACACAGCTGCTTTTAAGTCTATGCAGTAAGCACTGTACAGTCAAAACGTTTATACAGCCAGATCCAGAGCGTCAAGACAAACTCCCTCACCATCAACAGAAATGTCTATCAAAACGAAATGGTGGTGTATACCTGTAATCCCAGCACTTGGGGAGGCAAAGGCAGGTGGATCTCTGTGGATCTCTGTGAGTTCGACGCCAGCCTGGTCTACAGGGCGAGTCCAGGACAGCCAGGGCTACACAGAGAGGCCCTGTCTCAGAGAACTAAAAGAACTAAAAGCCATGTGCTCACTGAAGTCCTTCCAGATCTAGTGCAGCAGGGAAACACTGGCTTCAAAGTCTGGCATGAACCTGACCGGCTTTGCCTGAGCAGTGGGGCCTGGCCTAGTATAAGCTGACCCTTACCCCAAATGTTACTCAGGGATGCTGTGCCCGGTGGTGCGACCGCTGTGACAGTGTCTGTCTGGGGCCTGCTCTGAAGCCTGACCCCTGACGCAGCCTGCTTGCTCAATATTTGAACGGAGGAGTGTGTGCCTGGTGTCTGAGTGCCCAAGAGCAATACTTTTCTCTTTTTAAGAAATACTTAAATTACATGTTCAAATATGATTACCCATCTTTTTTTGAAGTCAAAAGTTCAACGAGGGGCTGGCGTGATAGATGGCTCAGCAGGTAAAGTCTGACGGACCCACTTGGTAGGAAACTCAAATCCAGAAAGCTGTCCTCTGATCTACACACACACACAAAGCAAGAAATGTTTCGTTTTTTGAAACCATTCCTCTGTGTAGCGTTGGCTGTCCTGGACTCACTCTGTAGACTAGACTGGCCTCACAGAGATCCACCTGCCTCTGCCTCCCTGAGTCCCAGGATTACAGGCTTGTGCCACCCACCCGGCAGTAAGCGTCATTTACAAAATGTGAGGTTCAGTGAAAGGTTGTCCATACTCTGAAACCCTGTCCCTGGAATGAATGAAAAGTGTGTGCTCAGAGTGTGAGCCCATTCTCCCTGCTGCTAGGCTGGTTCCCCAGACCTCCAGGCAGGAGATTTCAATCAACACCTTTCCTTCAGCTACTTCAACCCAAGAGGAAAGAGGATGTCCCATCCCAACATCTTCCCTGAGAGCCAGGCAGCCCGAGGGGAACGGGAGGAAGGAGGGAAGCAGGAGGGAGCCACAGACCCCGAGAGAGAGGAAACCACCTCCTCTGCCCCTCCCACCCCAAGCTGTTCCCCAGCAGCAGCACCTTCTGGAGTGAGTGGGACATTCTGCTGTGAGCAGGACAGCTCTTCTTTTTAAAGAACCTCACGGAGCGCCCGGACTGAGGCCTAGTGGGACCTCCATGCCTCCCCAGCTTTACTTTGTTGTACTTTGGGGGACCACGCTGCCCTCACACTGGAGATGCAGCAGAGGCTCTTAAACGTCTCCCCTTCCCTTTTCAACTCCAGAAACCTGAACTACCCCACCCAGAAGCTTACTTATAAGCAACTTTTTCTTGAGCTCACCTGCTGTTAGCACAGGTGCCCCCACCCGGCGATGAGGGGGCTGTACATCAGCCTTCCCGTCGTATTCGGTGCATCTTTTCCCTCCCAAACATTCTCTGTCTGACCGTCCCATAGGACTGTCAACATAGTTCAAAACCTACACAAGCAATAATTACAGGAAAGAGCCTGTGTGTACCAACTTGTGTGTCAGGGTTTTCCCAAACCTCTCAAAACTCAGACTATGGAGGGAGGGTAGATCAGGGTGGCCCTGAATACAAAGAAAAGATTCAGATCTAGAAAGGAGAGTGGAGAAGAGCTGCTGTCTGCACGGCCAAGGAAGGAGCTGCTGGGCGAGGAAATGCCAGTGTAAGAGAAAGAGGGGCAAAAACCCCACCGAACCTAAGGGTAAAAGGAGCCCTCGAGAAGGAGAAGGAGGAGAGTCTAGGAAGCCACAAAAACAGCTTTTTTTCAAGAGAAGAATCATACTAACAAAGCGAACCGAGGAAAGCTGTGTTCTGAGTGTAACCCACCTACTCTGAGCCCTGGGAACGGAAACACTCCTCTCCCGGGTTGGTAGTGGGTTTCAGAACAGCAGGGACAGCCGGCAAGATAAAGCTTCGAGGGGGAGGGGAGCAGGCCGCCAAGCTTTTCCTGAACACGGGGAGTCTTCCGACCACAGGCTTTTAAACGGCCCTTTCTGGGGGCAGCTGACAGACTAAACACAGCGCCTGGCTCTCAATCAGAGCCGGGTGCGCGCTGAAAACCGCGGTGCTTACAACCAGCTCGGGCACACGGGCGACATCCACCACCCAGACCCGGTGCCCGGTGCCCCAAGCGCCCCCACCCCCACGAGTGACCGGGGTCCCGGCAGGGTCTGCGCTGTGGCCACCGCGGGGACAAAAGGAGCCACGATAAGGCGCAGCGCCCACAGACCCTCTCCGGGCGCCGGCCCCAGCCACTTACTTTCGTTCGGCCGTTTATCCTGTAGTTGCCCAGCTTCCCGCTGCAGTGGCGGATGAGGTCGTCCATGCTGCTCATGAGCAGGCCGATGGTCTCGCAGCCGGGCTCCTTGCCCTCGATCCAGGTGATCTGGTCCCCCCGGATGTCCTTGGAAGAGTCACTCTTCTGGCTGACCAGCTGCCCGTCTGTGAACTTGCCGGTGTCGTGCAGGGCGCGCACCTCGTCGCCGATCTGCTGGCCGGTCTCCCTGCCCAGGAAGTCGTCGACCACGCAGATGCCGTGCTTGTTCATGCACGGCACGATGTACTCCAGCGCCAGCTTCAGCGCGGGCAGCGGCTTGGTCTGCCCGTTGGGCCGCGGCCCTCCGCCGGGGCTCAGCGCCTCCCCGT